TCACGGTGCTCTCCCTCGGGGGGCTTGGGGAGGATGGAACTGGGGTCTGATCTGCCAGGGGCCTGGGAAGGGGCTCAGGGGGGCTTGGGGAGGATGAAACTGGGGGCTGAGCTGCCAGGGGGCTGGGAAGGGGCTCAGGGGGTCTGGGGGGTGATGGCACCAGGGTGTGAGCCCCGTTTGTGTCCCCAGAGGAGAGCGGGGCGGAGGAGGCGCGGGCGGAGGCGCAGCCGGCCGAGGAGAAGAAGGAGGCGAAGGTAAAAGGGGTCTGGGGGTGTGGGGGGCGAACAGGGCAGAATTTGGGTGCCCACGGAGCTGGTCCTTCCCCAGGAGCCCAGGGATGGCACCGCCGAGGAGGAGACCAAGGAGAAACCCGGGGAAACCCCCAAGAAGGAGGAGGAGAAGGGGAAGGAGGTGGAGGGCGAGAAGGAGCCCGACAAGGGCGACGGTGACAGCACAGGTGAGTGGGGGCCCGGCGGGGCCGGGGGGACACTGAGCCCCCCCAGCACCGCTGACACGACCCCACCCGACCACAGGGGAGCCCGAGAAGGAGAAGGAGGTGAAGGAAGGGCCGGATGAGGCGCCCAAGGAGCCCCCAGAGCCCGAGGCCGAGCGCAAGGCCAAGGTGGAGCGGGACATCGGCGAGGGGAACCTGTCCACGGCCGCCGCCGCCGCGCTGGCCGCCGCCGCCGTCAAGGCCAAGGTGAGGCCCGGGCTCCAGGCTGGGCTTCCAGCAGGGTGGGGGACACGCCAGGTGTGAATTGTCACCCCTGCCATCGTCACCCGGCAGCACCTGGCGGCCGTGGAGGAGCGCAAGATCAAGTCCCTGGTGGCGCTGCTGGTGGAGACGCAGATGAAGAAGCTGGAGATCAAACTGCGGCACTTCGAGGAGCTGGAGACCATCATGGACCGCGAGCGCGAGGCCGTGAGTGCCCGGCGAGGGTGACACCCGCTTGTCCCCCCACCCCTCATCGCCCCGCTGACCCCTCCCCTCTTTGTCCCTCCCAGCTGGAATACCAGCGGCAGCAGCTGCTGGCCGACCGCCAGGCGTTCCACATGGAGCAGCTGAAATACGCCGAGATGCGCGCCCGGCAGCAGCACTTCCAGCAGCTGCAGCAGCAGCAGCAGCAGCAGCAGCCCCCGCTGCCCCCCGGGGCGCAGCCCCTGCCCGCCACCGGTGCCCCCCTGGCCCCCGCCGCCCACCCGCTGGCGGCACCG